TGATGAATGTGTTTCGTAAAAATTACAATTTGGACCCGAATTTGTAAAAATACAATCCCAGCAGAAATAAATTTACTAGGTATTTTAGTTGATATTACAAATTAAATTGTAATAATTAAGAAACTTAAAATAATTTTTAAAAAAAATATGTCAAAATGGAGATTATTACAAGTTACCTAATAAATTCTACTATTTCTACGGCGAATTCAGTCGTTTACATTCGAAAATTAATTTTTGTATTGTCATATTTATTAATTTATGCAAATATTTGTTGTGACAGCTTTTTCTACTTCATATGGATAATATTGTTGTTAGTGCAACGGAGAAAACACCAGAAGTTAAACCCGTGGGATGTTCAACAATTTGTTTGAACGAACCAGGCCAAGTAAGTTATATAAAAAGATGAAAAAGTTAGACTGAAAACTAAAAGATGAATATTTCTAAGCAAAAAAACACAAAATTTGCCAAATCAAATATGTGGTGTTGTTCATTTTCAGTATATAAATTAATTTTTAGTTGTTGTCCTCAAAGCTGTAGCTATAGTTAAGAAGCTTTTTTCTATAGGTAGTACTAATTTTTTTTTTTAATTAAAGATTTTTCAACAAAAAAGATTATTGTCTTAAAAAGACGTTTCATATCATTTGCCTTGGTAATCAACAATGATGCACAAAATGACATCTGCATTTAGAAGTTAAATTAACTCATAATCCACCTAAACTAATTATATTATCTATTATTATTGGGACTTATCTATAAATTGTATGTCACTGATTCATCATTATTTATGATTTATTTACAATTGCAATTATATGCAAAACAAGCGGATGCTTTGTTAAAGGTTTTGCATTTAGTCGTGCAGTATTTAACATTAATAAAAATGCAACAAAAACAATGGTAATTACAAGATAGGTAGATCCTTTAATTTCTGTGTATACACACCAGTTTTATAACAATTAATATTAATAAGTAGTAAATCAAAAGGTCATAAATTATTACAGAACAAAATTACTAGTATTACATCATCAAAGCGTGCATGTTTTTGTCACGTCTATCTTTGTTTCAAAATTTTTTCGTAAAATGATTTTTTTGAACTTTTTTCCATAATAACATTTATAACTAATTTCAGTTTGAAAAAAAACTGCAAAAATATGGCAAACAGTTAAATTATATTGCAAGGTTAAACAAACGGGTATAACAAATTACAAAAGAAAAACGTTAATTTGTAAACCACATTATCGTTACATAAGGTGCTTCCCAACATTTCCTTCTGTTATGCAATATTATGTTTGTTGTTATCAATTGCTGGCAATTAAGTAATTATTTTCCTTTAGAATTTACTTAATTATCTGAGAAACATAATATTCAAACAATATGTTTCGCTTTTATTCACAAAACATTCTAACAGTTTGTCGTCAAAATACATACATTGATTTTTATCGCGTGCTGATGAGATCCAATAAGATCGAAAAAATGTTCTTACTTTCCTAAACAATTATTGTTTTCATTAATAAAGATACATCGATTATAAATTCGAGGATGTACACAAATATTTAATTGGCTGTGCTGAAATGTGATTGATAAAAATTCAAGTTTATTTTTGGTTGAATGAAAATACATTCTCCGAAACATGGACAAGATCCTAAGTACATTTTTGAAATATAAATATACATGGTAGGACATCCAAATTGGTCTATCCTGTAGGAGCAAATACCCTTTTGCGTTCTTATTTGACCTTAATAACTTAATACATAATATAAGAAACTGAGTTGATTTACTTGAAATAATCTAGAGCGAAGAGGTTGCATACGCCTATACGTTTTCTGATATCAATCAATTTGAAACACTTCACTGAGTTTCTGCTATTTAGTGTTGTCTCCTACACACATTGTGGCTGCTGTCATTTCATAATTTTTAAAATGATTATGATATGTCGCAACTGTTTATTTATCCTTTGCTGTAGTTTATTAAACAATTAATCAATTACAAATTAATTGAAGTAGCCGATCGACGTTTGTCTGTCTGAGCGTTGTAATTGAACTCATTTATTACAGCATTATGCAGAGTAAAAGATAGTATAACTCAATTACGAAAAGTGGTATGTATTATTATGAAATCAGTTTTTATCCCTCAAGGATGAAGTGGTCCTTGTTTTAGATATTTTTATATTGAGTGTTGTGTATCACTAGTAAGAAGTAACCATGAAGCAGATGATGAGTGAAACTTAAAAAAAAAAATAGGTTTCTACTAATGCATCCATTCTTATCAATAACTTCCAAAGATGTTCGATTATGTGATCAACTGATTAAAAATTCCATGTTTTTTTGTGCGTACTACAAACTTTAAAAATTCTAGGCTTCATTTTCATAGTAATATACAATATATATATATATCTTAGGTGGTACGTATTTGTAACATCTGTAGGTGTGCCCAACATTAATTTAAGATATGACGGGGTTTACACTATTCTAAATAAATTTAGGAATGCTTAAAGAAACTAAGTCAAAAATAGGAATACAGCAGGCATTACAATAACAAGACTGTTTAAATATCATGTAAAACGGTAATTATTTTGGTACACACCTAAGTGTGCATAGGTATGCTTGGCATTCAATTGTAATATAACTTCTTCCACTTTAGGATTTTTTCTTCTTTAAGGATATTAAAATATTTCAAAAATGGTAAATAGTTGGTAAAAACGTGTTTTTAAGTGTAAACTGTAAATAAATAGTACCAAAATCTTAAAAGAACTTATTTTTAGAAGAAAATATTTGTTTTTTAAAGAAAAAGAATTCTAAACAACGTTTTCTATTTGCAAAATTTGAACTTTAACTAAATAATTCTAGGAAATTCTTGGTCATACAGAAGACGCATTAAGCGAAGTTTTGAATCATTTTTACCTTGTATCAGCACACATTATTGAGGAAAAGCCTCAAGGTCGATGGGGAGTTAAAGAAGAACGATTTACCTCTTTATGTTATGCTGGTCATTTACCAGGATACACGATGAGTTACAATCACCATGGTCTTGTGTTCAGTATTAACACGCTTGGAGCACGAAAATTATGCCCTGGAAAAACACGTAAGATAGTCCGTAATTTTTTATTGACCTTATGACTTGATATAACCTCTTCTAAGCCTTCTTGAAACTATTTAAAAATTACAAATAAAGGCGAGTTGAACTTGCACCCTATAAGGTGAAAGAAATTAAGTTCGTCACGCAATAATTCCGCATAGAATAAAAATAATAAATAAAAATATATATCACAAAGTTGTTTCAATTTAATACTTATGTTCTTCTTTTTGGTTAACTCGAAAGATCCATATTCCCTAATTCTAAGGGATATTCAAGGGCATAGGTACTGAATCTATTAAGTTTAGGTTTCTACTTTATTTTCTTTACTAAAAGATCCGTTTGTTCATTTCGAAGTACGAATCCTAAACATTCACCAAGTAATTAATAGCCTCATTATTACCAAATATTTTCTTTTCCTTTTTCAATAATTGACAAGAATAATAATCAAAGTCTATTTAATTAATATATCAGGGAAGATCCTGGCGAATGTTAACTCTCAATTCTTACATTTTTTTTTTGATCTTTCAGCTCGCCATTTTATAACCAGAGCATTGTTAACTGCAGAGAATCTCATGCAAGCGCAAAAAATCCTGCGGGATCCGGGAGTTGGAGCAGGAGACGGTTGTTCAATAAACATGACATTCCTAAATCAAGAAGGCGACAGGATGTTCCATAACGCTGAAATGGGTCCTGTCGATAATGCAAACGAATCTCAATTGAATATAATGACGGCTAGTCCTGGAGAATATTTAGTCCATTGCAATACGTATGAATTTTACTTACCTATCAGAAATATTTTTTCGGATTGGTCTTCTATTCTTATTTATCATCTTCGATTTTTTTTTTTGATTAATTACTGTTTTTCTACTAGGTATTTACGACTTCGTATTCCAGAGTGTCAAGGACTAATGCAGGACAGCAGTATATCGAGGTTGGAAGCATTTGGTAAATATTCAGCTCCAAAAACGAAACGGGATGTAATAAACATGTTGGGTGATCAAAGTGGTTCACAATATAAAGTATTTCAAGAATCGGGACCTCAAGATATTGTCAAAACCATTGCAGTTGGTAAGTAGTGAATATTTGTCTTAGTTTTTCTCGAGGAATTATTCGTCTCCGAAAATATTATCTGATTAATTCGGATTAAAAATCTTGCAAAAAGTAGTTTCTTTAATTTTTATTTTGATAGTTACAAGGTTCTTTTCTATATAAAAAAAGTGGACGTGGATAGCTCAAAGTATTCAGTTTTAAGTCCCAAAAAGGTTTTAATCAGTCTTATGATTTGTAATATTTATTAATTAGAGGGCATCCATTAATTACGTGAGCTCTTTTTCGGTCATTTTAGACTTGAGATTTGTCAGGACCCCCCCCCCACGTGAGATTGACGCTAAAAATATTTTAAACTTAATTTAAAAAAAGTAAAAACAGATTACAACACTTTTTTTTTAATTTTTACTCAATCCATGGAGACTCGTGTACTTTTTCGATCGAAATAATTGGACACATGTCATCTCGGATTTCTGGTAGTGCAGGAAGACAGTCACTGGAAACGTCTACGTTTTCTTCATCTATCCACTCCAAACTTTCGTCCACACTCAAAATATTTTTTTTTTTTAATATCTGTAATATTTTATATTTTTTGAAGTTGACGTGAGTTTTTCGATTATCCGCCCCTCCGTTTAAACGAGATTTGGTGATATTTCGTTGGACCCCCTCCCCCTATTCTGAGCACACGTAATTAATGGATTAATATAGATACATCAAAAACAGACAAATTTTCATGCAGAATTTAAAAACATGATTTACAGGGTAGAATGCGAGAGACTGTGGGAAGGCAAGTTTGGATGTCGATTAAGATAATACGACTCTGAAATTTAATAAAATGACCAAAAAAGACAGTGATAATTTTATTCATTATTAAACTTTTGGGGAATTTTTCACAATTGGCACACTTTAAGTCTTCTTCTTTGATTTCGTAATCTAAAGAAATCAGAGCCAAAAAAGGGTAGTTAAGTTTTTATTAACTTAAAACTAACCCTAACGTTTCGCTTCTTGATAAAGCCTTCTACGTCTTACAAAGATCTGAAACGTTGGTCTTGGATCTAAATTAATAAAAGCTTTACAACCCCTTTGGCTAAGATTTCTTTATATTATAAGAGTTAATACATAAGTACATTTCACTTATATATTAGAAGAATAATTCACATAAAAGGAAGGGTGAATTTATAAGTTAACATTTCAGTTTGGTTATTCACTGAATTTTACTTTTTATGCAAAGCCTTTTGAGTCTCAAAAGTCTTCAGATAAGAAAGTTTTCTAATTTTTTGAATTTTTACAAAAATGTGGAACAACAGTTATATTTATATTCGCTATTATCATATTAAAAGAGCAAACTGTAACGTAATATTTATTAACATTTTATATAAAGTTCAAATTTAAGGGCCTTGTTAGAAATATAAATGAATCTACCGCGAAATTTTCTTATAAACCGCCAGTAGTAAACTCGTATTAAATAACTTCCAGAAAAAATGTTTTTGTGGTTTTAAATATCTCGAACCTTTCTTTTTACTTTCGTTACATGTAACATTGATTTTTTTTTAAATGGACCGATTTTTACTGTTTCTTTCGGTACATTGTAAATTGTAACCGAATGTTGACGTAGTTGCGTTTTTCTGTACCATATTTGGAGTAGTTATACTAAAAAAAAATATGAAATAATAAAACTGCTCTTGAAAATATTTCTCTTTTGGTACTTATTACTTTTATAATTATGTAATTAAAGTTAATCAAACCAGAATAACTGAATTGATACTTTATAATATAATTTTTAGGTATTTTCGATTGTATAGAAAAAACCTGGAGCGTATACGCAGATAATCCAAAAAAAGTTGAACCGTCAGTTGTTATACCGTTGGTTTTAAAAAAATAAATTATTATTATGTCTACTGTTAATTATTGTTTTACACTAAAATAATTGAAAGACATGTATCCGCTTAATAAGTGGCTTCAAAAAGATCCTTCTTATAAAATAAAAGAAAAATGAAGACGGTGAACTAAAAAAAAAAACGTAGTCTTGTTTATACGTTGGCTGTACTTAAATATTGTACTATATATTATTTTATTAAATAATAATCCCAATAAAGTTACCATCTGATATACCTGTATAAGTACGTAGGCGCAACAACAGGGGGTATCAGGGTGCCAGGGCACCTCCTGACTCATGGTTGGAACCCTCACCCATCAAAAACCCAAGTTTATTAAAACCCTCTTAATCTAGATACACAAGTGTTACTATCCGATAAATCAGAAAAAAATAACTATTGATAATTAAAAAAAAAAATAATTCAAAATAAAAAAAAAATTAATTCGGCACATCTTAAAAATTGATTAGGTAATAATTTTGATCCATTTGATCCCTTATCCAACAATTAGTACCTAAACTGAAAATCAAAAAGCAAAATAATTCGCCGAACTTTTTAAAACAGTTAACCTGATAAGGCGATATTATCGAAAATGTCAAAAAAATTTCAAATTTTTAATAACTACTGGTCACAGATACTAACACCCCTATATCAGACGAAAAGAAATTTGATTTTGCATTATACTACGCGAGAAAAAATGTGGCATTCCGTTAAAAAAAAGTTGTACCTTTTTGAATTTGTAAATATTGGCACCGATAAATATCATACTATTTTTGATGCACGAGTCTATCTAATAACTACAGATGATAGGCAATTTCTTCCAGAAATGAAATATGAAAAGCGCAAACCTCTAGGTCCTTTTGTTTCTGAAATATTTAAAATGGCACTAAACACTGCAAACGTCAAGTTTTCAAAGAAACGTGAAATAACTCCAGAACGGTGAGACCCAAGCCGAATACACTTTAATAAATTGACATTGCTTTTTATGGAGAATTCAAAAATGCAATAAAAAGTAGGGGGTTCCATTTAAAATAACAATGTTACTGTGCATTTTCGGTATAACCGGAAGTCCGCCATATTTGAAAGTATTTTTACGTTGTTATTCAGTTAACTCTATGTAACTTTTATTTGAAACATTTTTCTCTATTTTAAAGTATACGTGTATGAATGACCGATTTCGGCTTAGTGACTCACCCTGTACATACTCACTTGAGATTCGAGGACACTCCCTGAAAAATTGGAGTTGTTGCGCCCATGTATAAGTATGTTAATTGATAAGGAGTGTCTTACTTAAATACTCAAGTATTTAAAGAAAATACTTAAACGTTGTTAACAAAATTTTTATTATTGTAATAAATCTTTACGATTATTTTATCTATGTACAAAATATAACAATAAATAATGTACTTATTCGTAGGTATACATACATACAATACTTACAAATGTCTTTTTAATCACATTAACAGAGTAGTGTTGATTTAAGCCACTGTAATAAAACCAAAAAATTATTTATCAGTGCATATTTTTATAATAGATAATAAAAAAGAATTACTTATAACCAAAAAATGTGCAGTCTTTATGAGACTAAGGGCATGTTTTTAGAGCAAGTTATAGGAGGAGGGTGGTGAATCCCAAAAACATGCAACAAAAAAATTAGTTTTCATCTATGCAGGTAAGGCATTGTACGAAAAGGTGACTTAAAGTACCACATGTACCATCAAGGATGTAATCAAATATCCCTATATTCAGTTTGCAACTCGCCACTAATGTATCATCACCAGGATCATCAGGATAAAACTATAGTTTCTAATTTTCTAGGTTTAACATACACATTGCGTAGAATTAATATTTATTTCGCCTAAACACTATTTTTTTTCTGGATAAAAGGTACCCTATATCCTTTTCTGTACCACTGAAAATCTATATACAAAATTTTATGATGATCTTTTGGGTAGTTCAGGCGTGAAATTGTAATAAACAAACAAACATATTCGAATTAATTAATATTAGTTAAGATAACTCCTTTAGAAAAGAGTAGATACGATTTTTCTATCAATTTTTTCCGAAATATAAGCAAAAAATCGGTTGTCTGTAAAGTCGGTTTACTGGCGATAGTTGAACGTGACAACGTCATAAGAAAATACTGATGGAATGGTTTCATTTTTCAAAAGAAAATTTTAATTTTATTTGTTTGATAGATATTTTGTATGGATATAGAGGAGGTAAATGGAAATGTATTATTGTATAGCAGCTGTCCACGCGGACGCATCGCTCACTCAAGTAGGAGAGAGACAGATGTCGAACGCTGCCGAACGCGGAGGCCGATTGTGCCTCTTTGTCGCTCGTTCCGCGCTCTTGCTTGCACTTCAAGCCTTAAATGGAACGCCTCAGAGCGGGGTAACGCCGCATGAGTAATGTTTTTTCGTGCGTGCAGCCGGCTCCATCGAATTATAAGACGTTGTCACGTCAAAAACAAACAAAAATATTGTTGTTTTATTGTTAAAAAAGCCTTATGTGAAATTTTGGTTGTATTTTGTGTTTTAGTGATGCCGCAATTGGTTTGCTGTTAATTTTTTTTTGCACGAACAAATCTCTAAATAATATTTCGATAGGTCGCAAGAGTTTCCTTCAAAATTCAAGAAAAATGCTTTGATGGTAGGTAACATTTGCGGGATTATTAAAAAATGACGTTACGCCAGAGTTGTCGTTATAACCGATGTTGTTATAACCAAGTTACATTTATATTACCGGCCTAAAGACACCAAAACAAAAATAGAATCAATGGAAAATTTAATATTTACCTCTGGTAGACTTAATTTGATGGTTCCATTTTGTAGTGGATCTTTTGATTCAAAAACACCTGAAAAAAATTGCTCTAAATTCGACAAGTTTTAGTTTATATTATTTAATTTCATTAAATACTGACATGAAATGAAAAAAAAGTAGGAAAAGAGCGAATATAAAGATAGGAGACGAAAGAAGAAGTGGCTGATTTTAGGTACCTAGGAAGTCAGATAAGTCAGGACGGAAGGAGTAGTAGGGATATAAAGCAGAGGATAGCGCAGGGTCGAGTCGTCTTTAATTAAAAGAAGTCAGTTTTATGCTCTCGAAAGGTTAATTTAGAAATTCGAAAAAGATTGTTAAAGGTGTATGTTTGGAGCGTGGCGCTGTACGGGTACGAAACATGGACAGTGGACGCGTCGGAAAAGAAAAGGTTAGAAACGTTTGAAATGTGGTGTTACCGGCGAATGATGAGGATACCGTGGACAGAGAAGTTTAAAAATGAAGAGGAAGGAGAAGGAATAGGAAACAGAGGACTCTATGGAAGTCAATGAAAAATAGGCGAGATAAATTGGTAGGCAGCTAATTAACGAAAGAAATTACGAGTAGTACTCACTAAAAGCTACAATGAGGTGTAATATGGCCGAAACGAAGTCTCCAAAACGCAATGTACCATCCTTCCTCATGTATCGAAATATGAGGACACCCAATACGTCGTTACTTAATTGAAATCCTACATCCACAAGGGCGTCTCGCAACCGTTCCGCTTTTAAAACGCCGGTCTTTTCTTTGGTGTGACTCTTGAAGGCCGTTTGCCAATGTTTTAAACTACACATGAGGTCTTTGAAGTCACTAAACTTTAGTCGTCCTATTCCTGTAGCCTGTATTGAAAAAAAATTAAAAGTAATGATAGTTATTTTTGTATTAAAGTAATTAATTGAACTGCGCCACAATTACGAAGAAAAAATATAAATTTACATGTACATAATTTCAAAACTACTTAACAACTATACACTTTAGGTACAGGTAGACAGAAACCACACAATGAAAATCTAACTTTATGTATCATTAATATATTTCACTTACATCTAACGTCAAAACTGCCTGTCGACATACTTCAATAGAAGCACAGCTTTTAATATAGTCATTAGGAAGACATGCTTCGAGTAATTCTTGCAATTCAAATGCGTTCACAGTCTTATGTTCATCAGCCAATTGAAGAAACACTGCTTCATATTGACTAAAACTTTTTCCGTCCAGAACAGCAGGTGCTTTCACTATAGCTGGTTTAATAGTCGCTGGAATTGTGTCCAGAAGTTTTAATTTTAGTAGCTTACTTGAATACACCTGCATGTTATTAAAAACAAAACATTAATATACTTGTATTTTTAATTTAAATTTAACTGTTTAATTACCCTGAGAGTGAATCCGGATTCTTGTCCTGGTTCAAAGGTGGTTGGTAGGATGAGGTAACCACCTTGCTCCAATTGACATCTATGGCTAATTTGTCGACTATTTGTGTATTGTGAATTAATGAGAGACTTATTTTTCTTAAAAAATTGCCTTCCAAGTGTTTCCATTGTGCTTTTTGGTAATGAATAAGATGTGAATCCAATCACTTTAGGTTCCATTATGCTACAATAGAAAGTATATTCGTTATTATCTACAAAAAAAACATTAAAACACTAAGAATGTTGAACTGATGCGTCAGGCCCGAATAAGAACAGCATCAGTTCACCTGCTAACCACGAATACCTTTACCAACTACAAAAATGTTACCTGTGTTGATTTAATGAAACTATTACTTCTTCCATTTCACTCAGAAGCAACTGAAGTTGAGGATTTATATGAAAGGTGTCAGGATTGTTCCTGCAACCCCCCGCTGTGACACCCTTCTGCCAACTACCCTGGTACAGTCTCATTTGCCACGTATGCTTATTATGTAAACTTGGTTCATCCCGACTCGTATCGCTATCCAAATGGACAACCTGAAATAATTTGAGAAAAGAATTGAATTTATTTTTAATTCTTGACTCATTCTTGTAATTATTTTTTATGCAGATATAATAATTGTGGCGGTGGCATACCTCTAGATGAGTAAATGTCTTAATAAAGTCAGTATATGACATCCAAAATTCTCCCTCTAATGATGTTCGTGAGTGTAATCTTTCCTGTTCAGATGGAGGAAGTTCTGTCCATTCTGGGGACGTACATGCCCATGGTCCTACGTATTCTGAACATGCTCCCAAAGGATTACGCAGTCTTACCAACTGAACAGCCTCACCACTGTATTTTTCGACCTATATTAATAATGGTATATATGAAATATACAAGAAAATCACTTCGAATTTCACGATTTCTTTTAGAACGATATACAATATAAAGAAATTTAAGAAAGAAATTGTATATCATCGAAAACAAGAAGAATATTTGCCAAATAGAAAATTATTATTTGAAAAAGTAGATGTAAATAAGATTTAAAAGAACTTTACCCTTTCGACACTATAAAGCCTATAATTTGTCCCAACAAGAATTCCATTTGGTAGTTTTTCAACGTGAGGCCTTATTTGCTGCGGGGGTGGTTGTACTGTACAGGTAATAATTGTAGTCATGTCGAGGAATTTATGCAAAAGTCGGGCGCATACAGTTGCATCTTGTTTCATGGGGATACTTTCTGTTATTCCTCCGGTTAAATCAGCCAAACCGTCCAATAGAGTTCCATATTTAAGGGCTTCATATGAACCGTGAAGTCTATAAGAAAATAAGTTTAATCAAGTACTACTTTGTGACTTTGTCTAAACCCTCCAAATTGCTTCCCAAATTTCATTAGAATGTTATAAATATTAATTTTTCATTGAAGGTTTTAATTATGAAAAGAAGACATCGCAATTTTTCAAGGAATGGGTCGAAAGTGAAGGTCGAACCTTAAAGGTGCAATTATCATTCCAGTATTTTTTTTTTATTAAAGTTAACAGAAATTAGGTACCACCCTATATGTCTTGATCATTGAATCAATTAAATCAAAAAGGTGTGTCTCTTCATTACATTGGGTCAGAAGCTTCAATTTTTTTAAGAAGCTGTAAATCATAGACCACAGTGCTTGGTATTAATATTTGACTTGATGCCTGTAGTAATTCTTGTGAAAAATTACTTTTTATTTTATTTATTCATAAAGAGTGTATTCGTCAAGTTGAAATCTTCGTAATGCCCTTGTCAACGTATAAAATACTTCAGTTACTAGTAAGTAACAGCAGATGGCGATATACTGTGCTTACCTTAAGATATTTATTCAATTGTAAAAAGATACCAATGAGGTTCTTTTAAAATACCGCAAAGAACGGATTGTTTTACTTATTACACAAAAAAAGCGCGCGGTTTTAGCTGATGCACCAGAAAAAAGGCATCAAGTATCCATTTAAATCGCATTAGTAGCAGTGTTTTTACGCTCAAGTTGCGGTAATATGCCTGCTCTAGATTTAGCAAAAATTGCACCGTAGTTTAATTGTTGGAAAAGTAGGCGACCATGGTAAGGTAACTAACGACCGCGAAATGTGTTTCTATAACAGAATTATCTCGTACAGCATTGTTCCGGTGAGTTCCTTTTAGTAAATAAAAGTTATGTAGGTGTAGGGATCCGAATCGGTCGTGAGAGCAAATTTGTAGTATTTATAAGTTTCAATTGTTTATAAATTTCCTGCTATTTTCTTAATTCACTGCTTCCTGATTTTAAAATTAGCTTTGAGCTAGTCTAAAATAGAAACGGTCTACAGTTTTTTTAGCCTATGTAAGGTATAGAAAATAGAATTAAGATTCGGTTGAATAATTAGGTCCTAACGTTTCGTCAACAACTGGGGCTAACATCTTCAGTGGAATCGGCGTTAACAACGCTAATTTTTTTACTTATCAAATAAGCAGCTCATATATGATAAAACAATTAAAAAAATCAATATATTTTATTTAAACATAAAGTCCTTTCATCTACAATTAATTAATTATATGTATATCAAATATGTAAATATGTTATTATTCAGTAGGCTTCCACCAATCAATTTCTAAATCTGTATTAATATATCATGAAAAGGAAAGTAACTCAGTCATTATTGTCACCGATATAGGTGGATATTTAATCCGATGTGATAAGGATAGTGCTGGAGAAATTACTTAGCGTCGTTACAGATTATAGACAGGTGAATTAGAAAGTTAACACAATCTGCCACCTGTTATTGTATAACAATATCCAATACCTAATCGTAAATCGTGCTTGTAAGTCTATCTTTGATAGGTTGATTAAATCTTGTGACAATCGAATTAGCGCTTAAATCCTCTACAAGACCCGAAAGTTTGCGAGGTTGTAGGTGTACATTTAGTTGAAAGTGTTACGTAGGTGGTATGGTTCCAATTAATTACGACAAAGGATGAAAATATCAGAAAAACCAAATTGCGGTTGAAACCTAGTACACTTATAAGTTGGTATGTGTATAATATTATATATAAAAGAAATTGTGAGCGCTGTCAGCACAGGGCAAAATAGCATTCCGTAGCCTAGTATCAGCAATTTCTTATGCTGAAGTGTACGATGTGTGGCATACCTATTTACAAACAATTCCTTTAAATTTTAATCATTGATTCCTATACATCTATTAAAAAATTATAATGGCCGACATCAGTGACAATGCGACAACAAATGAAAAAGAATGATGGCCGACAAGTGCAACAATTAGAAAAGAATGATGGTCGACACGACGTCATAGTGGAGTAATAAAAATGACCGGGGCAGGGGGAAGAACTAGTTAAATTAAAAACAATTCTTTACAATTTTGGGTAAATGATGTGACCGTAGGTGTATGGTTACAAAATGTAGTGAAAACTTCTAAAAAGCAAAGTGTACCGGTTTCTTGGTAATGAAATTTGTGATTTAAGAAATGTTCCCAATACCTGTCGTACATACGACATTTTCAATGATTTTATTAAAAATAAGTATTAATTAACAAGATTAGTAACAGTAAATTTCATCTTTAAACTAAATTAAGTGTTAACACTGAAAAACTTAAAAGCTTTAGGTTTTCCTAGTTATTGTCCAACTTTGTACTCCAATAACTCCTAAATTAAGAGAAATATAAAAATGAAATTTGGCGTAATACTTAAACACAATGTCCACATATGAGACCTTTGGTACTACCCAATGTTACATGATATAGTAATTTGTTGCTGTTTAACTTGATGGATTAAATAACAAAATTATCATTATATCATTTAATACAAAAATGATACAAAATTAAATGTCCTTTAGGTGTCTTAAAACATCGACAAATTTATTTTGTTTTATTGTTAATGATCATTTCGATGTAATGTATGTACATAATCAAGATAATCCTTCATATTGACCTTCATTTAATATTGCAATGTTATAGTATTAGGTCATCAATGTCTTTAAAAAAAATTTTGTACCAGTTTTGCTGTAAATGGGACGATAAGTAATTAAATGCGTTGGATATCTAATAATAAATAATAATCTCAGCTATGTAACGTTCCGACTATGAAATTGTGATTATTTGTTTTAAATGGCAATTTGCTTCGTATTTCTATGATATATTTCTTTAATTCTTACGTCAAAGTTAATATAAAACAGAAAATTTACATACAAATGATGCTCCTAAATGGATAATAGGATTCAACCGAACCGTAGCATGGAATAACATAAAAATACCTATTAATGGTTTATGGATAAGGTTACATTTTCATTTAGGTTACAGAAGATTGAACAAAAATTTTACATTTCAGGAAATATTTATAAATTTATATTGTTTACTTTCCTGTGCTTTTTTTTTATTATTTATAATTAATATTATGTACTTCCCATGAATGTATTTTGGATATAGATCTAAACTGTCAAAACAATTTGACGAGAATTTTTCGGGCTGACAAGTCATGGTCTACCGAAATTTTGAAATCTTTCAATGGAATTGTCGATGACTTCTTCAGAGTTATCGTGAAGGATTCGCCACCGCACCATTGAACCATTAACTTTGGAGGAAACGTCTGGAAGATTTCAAAATTCCATTAGGCCACAATCAGTCAGTCCGGAAAATCCTCGTCAGGCAGACACCCAACAATATTGTAAAGTTAATAATGAAAATAATAAAAAAAAAAGTTTGTATTATTTGTATATTTTGTATTTGATTGTAAATGTGAGTTGCTAGATATAGGTATTAATGTATTACATAAAGAAATGCTAGAGGATACTAACTTTGCATAAGCTTTCTCTAGAAGACCTGGCCAAAAATGGTCAGATTGTTGGGCCTGTAGAAATGCCAAACGGCCATGAACGGTGGGCAGACGATCATCTACCAATACTTCCGTCCACTCCCCACACCACCAAACACGAAATCGAAACACTCCCGCGTATTGCTCAGGACCAAAAGATTGGTCAGCGGGAACCACTCGATAAAATAGTCCTTTATTAAGATACAGAACACCTAAACATGATACCAACCACCGGTCACCTGAAATCAAATTATATTTATAGTTTTTAACAAATAAATTACAACATTAATTAAGGTAGAAGCAAAAAATGGTAAAAAGGCAACATCTTTTTAATTTTTTAATTGAGGACTTAAAATCAACCAGCGGCATAGCTAAATCGAACGTGAATGCCGAAGAAGCCCCGAATAATCGTTACTTATTTCTACGATTCTTTTTAGAATGGTGGTTTTTTTGTGGGACCACCTAAGGCGCGAGACCGTCGGTGGTCACTAACGTCGTCTAACTACTCTGAATTCCACAGTATTTTGCAATGAAATTCGCCACTAAACTTAAATCAAAATTGTCAAACTAAACCCTCACAAATTATTTGGTTACCTACATTTAATTTAAATTTAAAGCAACAGTAACAGCTGTACTACCTATGCTTACAATCAGCGCCGCTCTTAAAACATTGCGTATAGGCCAATTAATTCTACGGCATACAGTACATACTGTGTCATATTACAACGTGCAATTAAGCTGGAACGTATGCTATGTAGTATATATTATAAAAGGTTACTATGGTTTACGTTCACCATACTTGACCATCCTTAAAACGAAGTAAATTATAAGATCGACTAACCGATTCACCGCGCGTAGCTTGCGCGGTGCAACAGTTGAAACTTCGCGCGGTGCAACGGTCCAACTGTGCGCGATGCAACGGTTGGAACGTTTGAGTAAGTATAACGTCCAGTCATTATTTTACGGATTGGTTCTTACAGGCTATATCAATGATATAAACGTAATTTCTTATTAGGGACTCTCCATAAATTATACAACGTTAAATGAGGGAAGGGAGTACATCATGTTAGAAGACGGAGAACCAAAAATTGATTTATTTTACGTAACATATTTACAGCTAACCCCTTGATAAAATCATACAGCACATTATTATTGTGGGTAAATGGAAAACGCTTTCTTTGGTAACTTTAATTTTTTATGTACAGTATTCAAACGAACCAGAAGCAGCCACAGGATTATTATTTCTTTTTAAGTCAACTCTTTTTAGGTAATTGATTATTCAAGTTACGTACAGTATTTTTTGTGAGCATCCGCTTTTTGAGAGAGCAGTCACCCTAATATAATATTCATGTAGCATTTGTAATGACAAGCAAAGCAAACAAATTTCTTACGAAATAGAATGATTGGAACATTTCAACTTAGAAAGTTGCCAGTGTGTTTAATAAATAAATATAATTTGCTAAAACTAAAATGATTAAAAAAGATTATAAATTCACTTAGTACATACATACGTCAAGTTTTTGTTTATTCAGATTAAAATTAAAAACGACAAAAATTATTTACAAAGGCGAGAATCATCATGTTAAAAATCAGACTAATTTGACATAATGGATGAAATAAGTGAAATGGATGTTAATAAACGAAGCATCAAGGCAAATTAAATCTAGGTTCTTTTACACAGTGATCTAGGTGCTTTAAGAAATTATCAAAAAATGAAAACAAACTTGAAAGGTCAATGTTACAATCTAGAGAAGGATTTATTTATTTCTTTAGAACTTTTGTACCTAAGAAAAAGTGTAAAAATTTGTAGATTATTCTGGTTTAATACATAGAAAATATAATCATCATCATAAGGTCTTCAGTCCTAAGACTGGTTGGACACTGAAAATATAATACATTTAAAAAATTACTTGTAATGTCTAAAAGTGTAATTTGATATGTATAAATATTTTCCAAAAGCACAATCATGTAGATATATTTGAATAAATCATTTAATTCATAGCCAAAAAGGCCAGAGTTACAAAAAAAGTCATACCCCATAAAGGATTTTTAAGCCAATTATAACCGATACCGTTGTTTTATTGTTATTAGGTTAATATCGATCGCCAATTTTGGTCGCTTGTAAAATTTTTATGAATTGGTTCAGAACAACTCTTAAGCAGAATTAAAATAAGACAAAAAAATATATAAATAACCATTGCACGAAAAAATGTGTCTTCAATGATTGCTTACATTTATCACTTGCGAAAAAAAATCATTGATGATAGGTGCTAAATCGATAAAGTCATCAAGTTGCACAATGATGTCAATTTCATGGAAGCTCTTAGTGATTCATTGTTGAAAGGTGTGCTGAAGGCATACGGTGATTCTACGGGCAAACATTTTTTCGTTTACCGGATGGAGGTCACGTTTTAAAGCGTTTCCTCTATTACGCTCGTACCATAAACAAACGTTTGTCTTGTTAGTCGTGGTTTCGTCCAAGTTCAATGAAGAAGCATTGTCGTGATTGCTGGAGCGACAATAACCCGTACTTTTTTATATTATTAATTCCTTTCATGACACGCAAAACGTTTTGTTATCGTTTTTTTTTTCTATCAAAGAACTGCTTCCTTCTTGTCTCGCTTTTGAAGAAATGAAAATGAAACGGTCACAGCAGTTTCAATTCTCAATAGATTAAGTAATTGACTTGGTTTTAATATTTCCTCTACATTATGTCACAGCGATTAGCTATTGTTTGAAAAGGTACAAACAAAAGTTGGTTTTAGTAGTACATAAATCAGAATAAAACAACAGAATTTAAAGAACGCTTATTCGTGTTTAGCAACCATGTATGTAGAAAGAGAAATAAAAAATAGGCTGGTAGGACACCTTGTCAAGTATCAAGGACTAGTTAGAAATCTATTAGAAGTAGGAACTATAACTACTAAATTACTATCCGCAAATAGTTAAGGATGTACTTTGCTCAAATATGCGAATATTGGTTCAAGTCAGAAAGAAGTGGAAACAGTCTTTGGGTTGAAGTCCTTATGCATAAACAGGTGTTAAGATGAGTAGAGATAGACCTAGATTAGGTTACTGTTCGCAAAGTATGCGGGTTGTTCTAGTTTTGGGGAAATGCGAAGATTAGATTAGAAAAGAGTGCAAGTGCGTGTCCAACCAGTCTTAGGACTGACGACCTTATGATGATTATGGTGATAGAATTATGAACTAGGTATTAGAAAGAGTATAAGAACAGAGAGCTAATTGAAGTCAATAAAGAAATAAGCGAAAGAGATTGATGGAATACCTTCTTAAACATGAAGGGCTAGTGAGAGGCATATCAGAAACAGAAGCAGGAGTTAAGAGGACAGAATGAGATTACTTTTCACAAATAGAGATCTAGATTACTCTATTTGCCCAACCAGTTGCAGGAGACAAGGAGTAGCAGGGATATGAAGCAGAGGATAGTACAGGATCGAGTCGTCTTTAATAAAAAGTAGTCACTTCTATGTTAGCGAACGGTAAATTTAGAAATTCGAAAAAGATTAGCTCAGAATAGGAGAGTGTGTCCAACCAGGACCTTATGATGATGATGACCGCTTCCATTTTATTTAAGACTATCACTAACTGCTCCTTGCTAGAAGTTAATACTGCCATATCATTGATTTTACTAGTGCAACCAAAAAAGTACTACATATTATATCAATTTTAATGATGTCGTTATTAAAAATGATTACATTTTTTTAATGGACTTTTAGTCTATTGTATTATCGATAACAATAGCCATTTCTGAACAGAACAATAAATAATTAATTTCTGTTTTTTGTCATAAAATTAAACAGGAAACAGTCAAAACTGTATTTTCTTATTTAAATTATCGTTGAGCATGATATACACCATACAGCATTTGATAATTTTTGTTGATGAGAGTCGGCCTGCAGGACATTAACTGATTTTTTTTATGTGCTGCGGAAAAAAGTTGCCCATAGAACCGGTAAATACAGAATAATATAATGGTGATGTTTACACTAATGAAAAATGGTAGTTATTCCTTGTAAGTAGCAAAAAAGATAAATTCTTTCGCAGTCGACACGTTTCTTTTGTTTCCCGGAATCTCTCTCTGAAAAACGTCTTCCTCACCTGCATACCTTTCGTGTTTTATACAAAGTTTTATGTATTTGTAATTTCAGATAGGTATGCATGTATAAGTGATGTAGATTATGTGCGACATACGGTCTCAAATGTTGTGTTTTTTACCGTTACAATAAGAGAAAGTTTATCTGACCATTAAAATATTTTTCCTAAATCGGTTAAATATGTGATATTTATTATTGTTCTTTAACAAGGAGAATAAGAAGAGGAAGTATACCTACATCTCAGATAGATAAAGAATTTAATGACTCAGCAGTATGAAAGGAATGAGGACATACCATTCGTTAAATGAAAATATTCCATCATTATATATACTGCATTAACGCATTTTTGTTTCGTAGTTATTTAACATTACAAACTGAAACAAATTTTTCCAAAATTTCCGATATTTAAATAATATCGATAAAATAATTAACACAAGAAAATTATTAATTTTATTTCTAAGTTACATTATATCCCATTGGAATCCGTCAAATGGGCATACACCATCTGGTGGCAAAATTTATAACTCGAATGAGGGAAAAATTTACATAGGACCTGCGCACGCAAATTGTAAAATTGTTTATTAAAATAATAAAACACGTTAGAAAAGTAAAAATTTTTTTGATGATGGACTCGACTTCTAAAGTTAAATCAAATAAAAAGTTAATATGTTCAGTGAAAAGCTGCAATAGCACTTCAGACATAGATCTTCACTCTTCATCTACATTAACTAGTTTCCAATAAAAACTAACCGTTTTATATATGTAAAAAGTATATTCGGAAAAATAGAGAAAAAAGTAAACTAATAGAAGCTTGGATGAAAGCAGCAGGTATCAAAGAAGTGATTTCCGGAATAAAAATTTGTTCACGTCATTTTAATGCACATGATTATATTTCAGCAAGTATTTACCATCAGCCATAACCTTAATATTTAAAACTAGAATCATACTAAAATTATAAAGTGAGAAATTATTTATTCCTGTGTAATTGATTTAACACAATTCTAATGATACGATATAAGTATTTTGAGGTTAAGAACCTAATTTGTCAGTGACCAAAATAGTACGTATTTCTTCGCTATATTAGAGAGTCGGTTACATTTCTTAAATACAACCCATCAACTAATCGTGATTAATTTTTACTGAATAGAGAATTTTTCGTTATAAAAGGGAGTTTTCACTGTTCATAAAAGTTTTCCAAAGCTGCAGATGTCTAATAATAAGTATAGAAGTAACAATGTTGTGGTCCAAAAAATATTCTTAATTAATGCTGTTGTGCGCTAGTTGGTCATACACTGTCTGACTGGCTGCAACATTAGCACATTAAATTATGTTGTGGAGCAAGTGTGAAATTGATTTAAAAGCCATTATGCCAGGAAAGCATGAAATCATACCTATATACATTGGAAACTGCTCATTTTAAGCTTTCACATGGTATTAATAACCATCAATTTTAAGTAATTTCATTTAGTAAAAATTAACGTTTATTAATTTGATACCAACATTTATTATGAGTAAAATGTATGATTATAAATAAATAAAATAGATTATATTCATAACATGTGAGAGAACCCCAAGGATTCTCGTAACTGTGTGAGATTAAGGATCAATCCTTTAAGTACTATCATTATGTAATCAGATTGGGGAACAATATTTAGCTCTCTAATGGACATTGGGGGGAAGGCATGTGCAGTGGTACTTTGCTGATTAAATTCCTATTAAAAGGAAGTTTTTTATAGCATCTTACTTATAGTGTTAGACGTAAATTTGATTTCTTAAAATTTCCCTTTATTTGCTCTCTTATTATTCTGAATATGGAATATTTATCGGCTTTGTTGATTCAGATGAGTTTTACCTGCCTCAAATTCTGACATGCGCAAACAATTTCTGGTTTTGCAACTAAACAAGTCGTTAACTAATAAAAAATTTAAATTGTCCATTTACTTTTAGGAGCTATGTATATACTTTGCAGAGTTCAATTTAATTTTGCAAATCCTTTTATATTGTATTATTTATGAATAATGTTCAGCAGCTTCAATTAAGATCAATGTACTACGTGTAACTGCTGACGATGTAAACGAAAAAATTAACATTGGACGTAAATATGAATAACCTGAGTCCTGAGGCGAAGGCTTTCACTTATATTGAGTACTTCGAACTGGTTATTCCGTAATTAAAACGAAGGCCAGCATTATTATGGTTAGGAAAATAAATAAAAAAAGACAGTCAGCAAATGTGAAACTTATTGCATCAAATAAGACGTTCGGTTTGTGGTCGAGGTAATATGTGCGAAACACCAATCTCGTCTGAAGTCGGACAAGAGTGGAAATTGATTTTATAATGATGTCAATGATCTTGAAAATCCGTGCACTTTTTACCGCTCTATTTGCATCTACTTTTTATACTATTCCTCAAGTGTTAAATGTATCTATACTTATCTACAAGGTAGACCAAATTAGGCATGCACCCTTAATGTTTTTTTTAAAGGGTTATTGATTTAGAATAATTATATGGAAATTTCGGTTGTCCGTGTATACTAACTCGTTTTTAATTGTTACTAGAAGGTGGTTACTTTTATTTTACCTTTTGATATCATTTATAATTTTATCCATTCACTGTATTAAGAAGTCCATATCAAGAATGAGACGACATGACAGTGAACCAGATAAGAATGAAATTCTTCATAGATATTTGAAGCAAAAATAATATTTAAACAATAAATCATTACTTTTACGTCTGAATATTTTTTTAAGTATCAATATTAGTATAGGTATAAATACGACTACAGGTTAACCCCTTTTTGTTCTAAATTCCTGTATGTCTTTTTTTTCTCTTTTCCCTTGGGCCTGCTCCTTCCAGTCTATGTCTTCCTTTGATCCATTCGCTATTTCGGTCTCGCTTAATTCTGTATCGATTGTACAATTCTCTTTTATATATTGCCAAATGCCTTTTTCCTATTTACACACCCTGCATGTCTTTTTATTTTCCTTTGACCAACACCTTTCTCCTTTCCATTCATTGCAACATCTAAGCCTTGCTATCATCTTTACCTTCTTTTTCTTCCCTTTTACTGCTAAATGTTTTGGCTTTGCGTCAACCATTTATTACCGGCAGTCTTTCGCCGACTTGAAATCTCTTTATTTTTTCCATCATTACTTCCCTATTCTTTGCTTTGAACGTATTTCTTCCTTTGTTGATAGAGTCATTCTCCGTCGATTCAGCTGCTTCTCTGTTCCATTTGCTTGTTCTTCCTTCAACCATTAGTTTCTTCGTTTCTTTTCCCCATTGAGTATTTCTCTATATCCCTTTTCTGCATTCTTTCACATATTAATTTTTTGTATCATTTTTTTAATTTCTTAGTATTTTAGCACTTTACATCCTGATTGTATAATCATATTTATCCACAAGGACATTTATTAGAATAGTTTTATGGAAATTTGGGTTGTCCATCTACTTATTATTTAAGAACACTGGAAAATGCTTATTTTTATAATATTTTTTTTGATTTCAATGATGAACATCTTTAACTTATTAGACCGGGTCTACAATAATTTATTTTATTAAGCATATTATGAATTAGGTACCTACTTCCTGAAACATTCAGGGTTAACGATTTCAAAACGTGTACAGATCGACTGTCATTTTAATTAGTGACAGTGCAATGACTCCATCAAGTTACTCGTATGCCTAATGACAATGCGAGAAGATATAAACAAACCAAAAGAATGAAATTCAGCAGCATTTATTTACTACACGAATGGCATCAGCAAAAAGCAAAATTCTTGTATTACAGGTATATAGTATACTACTAATAAGTATTCAGCATCCACGTGGAATAAGATGACTTTTTTTGTCGTTCATCATCTTATTACCGACACAGAAAGGATCTTAGCGGTACCTCTTGTCAGTACATAAATGAATTTCGGTATTACAGTTATAATTTCCCGTATGAAACTGGCAATTAACCGTATCAATCCAGTTGGTATGCATTTATACATGGGTGTGGCCTTCATGTTGGTTGCTACACTCGATTTCAGTTTTGCACCTAACTCTTTCAACGTTCCTAGAACGGTTTACATACTCACCTCTGTATCTACTGTATAAAAATTGACTGCCAATAAACGCATGTCAACGGTGTAAGAGAAAGTTTAACTGCAATTAGAAAGATCTATGTGTATCTGTACATGCAAAAAAAATACGTATATCTGTGTGTAATGCTCCCATAGCTCTCACGATCAGTTAAGCACTTTGACTATAAAAGGATAACATTGATTAAAATGCCCATTGGAATACAACTATTTACATATGAAATAATGTTAATGTATATTTAGTAAATGCTTTCACTCTAACGATTTCTACATTTCTGCAAACTAGAAATGGATTTGTAACACCAAACAATTGTTAGTTTTCGATACGATTCTCTAGTTTGCATAAAAATTTTCTTTTAATACATTTTCTTGTCTTACGTTTCCATAAAATTTTCTCTCAAAATTAAGATTGTCATATCAATCTCTCAGTAATCTGTCTAATACCTATACATAATCTTCATTTCAACAGTTTTTATCAATTTATTCAAAACTATCTCATCCTACATAGACCTGTTGCACCCAGTTTATAGTAACATATTTTTTCACACATTTCACTTCCTAATTTATCAATTATTAAAACTCTCATATCCTTTAGACTGTCACCCCCCTCTTCCTCATCCCATCGTTCATTCGTGAACATTTATCTTATCAGTTTGCAATTACTACTTCTTTAAAGCAGAGTCTATGGGATTAGGCAGATTTATTACTAAAGAACACTAAAATTAGCTCGATTCTAATAAACCGAATACCTTCTAGCACTTAATCAATCTTCTGTTAAACACTAAACCTGTTTATATATCCACGTTCGTGAACCAAGTTGTAGGTAACAACTAAACCGTAAAATAAATTTTATTGTGGGATTGTGGGAAGTTTACAATACATGTAGTATATATATGCATATCTGTGACTGAGACTAGTTTTACATTTCTTTTTGGAAGGTTTTGCAAAATCACAGGTGGCTTCAGGTGCCGTAAGAGTGGACTTGAGTAGGCACCACCTTATCCAATATCATGCACATAAATATTTACCTTAACAGTTATGCAGCAAATGACATCAACATAGTAAAATAATGAATGCAAATGCATAGGCATATCAATTTGCGTAGGGATTTAGTATTCGTATAACAGATGGTGAGCATTTATTTTTATTAGATGACACTACTTATCCGGGAGTATTAGGGATTCTTGCAATTTTAATTAATAATGTTGATGAGAATTATTTGAATTTGAAATCTTAATTGAATTAATTAGTTGACTTACCCATTTTTCCGGGTATAATATCGAATTGTGCCGGTCCATCTTGGACAAACTCAGGTCGCGCACATATGTCCTACAACAGAAAATTGTTTCCCTTAACAAAAAAAATTGCATTGGAACGTGCCTAAACAAAACCAAAGTAGGAAACCCTGGATAACAAATGAGATTGTAGGATTAATAGAAGAAAGGCGGAAATACAAAAACAGGACAGACGAAGAAGGGCAAAAAAGATATAAAGCTGTAAAGTGGGAAATAATTAGGAAGTGTAGGGCAGCTAAGGAACAGTGGATTGATAGGATGTGTAAAGAAGTAGAAGAAAAGTTTGAAGTAGGTAAAATCGATGAGGCTTATAATATAATTAACAGGAATTTTAGAGATGTAGGATACAGTAGTACTAATATAAGAAACGAGGCAGGGGTCATGTTGATAGAAAATGAGGAAAAGACAGATAGGTGGAAAGAATATTTAGAGAACCTTTACGCAGGCCCTGAGTTAGGAGAAAGAAGATAGTGTGGAGATTGGTTATCCCGTAATGAGAGACGAGTTCGGTGTAGCATTAAAAAACTTAAAGAATAATAAGGCGCCAGGTGTAGATGGGATACAGGGGGAAATTCTAAAACATGCAGGACATGAGGTTACAGATCATATGTTTATGCTAGTTAGTCACATTTACAAGACGAGAAAAATTCCCAGAGGATTATAAATGGAACGTAGTAGTAACATTACCTAAAAAGAGGGGCGCGGATAGGTGCGAGACATTTAGAACAATTAGCTTAACTTCCCATGCGTCAAAAATCTTAACTAGAATTNGTCAAACCTACACTAGCAAGGAGATCGGGCTGAAACTATAGCTACAAGCTATCCAAGGATGGTACTATAGAATGTCACCTCAAGGTAGGCCTAGTGGCGTCATCTCTTGGTTAGGCCGGAAACTTATCAATCCACCCTCGTACATAAGATTACTGTTCACAAACAGTTAAGGATGTGGGATATTCTAGTTTCTTGCTCAGGCTACGAAAAAGTGGAGAGTCGTGTCTAATCAGCTTTAGGACTGACGACCTTATGGTGATGATGATATTAAAAAACCTTTGGGTGTTTCATTCCCACCAGCCAGTAATGCTGGTGGGCGGGCAGTCCGTCCGGACTATGCCGGAAGACCCTCTTCAGACTGCTTTCAGGATGTAGATTTAGAAAAAGCTTTTGACAATGTTAAATGAGACAAGATGTTAAATATACTTAAAAATGTAGGGATGAGTTACAAAGATAGAAGAGTGATACTTAGTTTGTATATACTAAAAAAATGCCTCCTCTTTTCTTCGTCAAAACTCAATCAAGAATCGTATGTAGGTGTGTCATATTGTGTATTAATTCCTAAAACTAAGTAGGTTATCCTTATCAGTTCTTTGTTTTTGCTAACCGGATTTGAGCCAGATGTCTGACAAGAAAAACGATTTTAACGATTATGTTGGAGAGGTAAAGAACCCACGAATAAATTTCTGTTATACATATTTTAGTAATTTAACTGGTTCGGTCGTGAAATGTTGTTTGTGTTTTTTACGTAAATTTTACGTAAAAGAAAAACGTTACTTTTATTTATAGTGAAACTTCTTAAAATATGTCTCTGGTTTTTGTGCCTTGGTGTGTTCACGTTTCAGAATGTAATGATTTAGTTTGGTAAATAATTGCGACAAAACAGGAATTGTGACCATGTAAAATGTAAGTTCTCATGTACCCAATTTAAAAACGGACAGTTAAATTAATGGGTCCTTAAATTAAAGGATACTTCAACAACTCTGCACGTTTAAACATCAACACAGTCGTATGGGTTAATTGTATGTATATTATAAGAAGAGTTACAACTTGAAATTGATGGTTAAAAATTAGCACAACTTTAACGCTAATTATTTATTGATAAACCAGTTAAGTAAATATTTATTTTATTAAAAGCATCTACAAATGTAATTGCCCAAAGCTCAAGGTGAAAATGCGACACTTTAACGTTTAAAGTACTTTTTGGTAACAGAATTACCTTCTTCAGGCATTGCTGAGAATATAAGAACAAAGGCTTTCACGGCCGGAATCCATAGTAGAATGAAGATTCGGGCTATAGGGCAGTGGTTTAAGTGAACTATTCCGTCCAGACGTTTCGTCAGCTACTGCGGCTGACATCCTCAGTGGTGGTAGTGAGTTGACAACGTGAACGTAGATCCGCTGTCGAGACTTCGAGATATAATCTACGTTCACGTTGTCAACAAAGCACCACCACTGAGGATGTCAGCCGCAGTAGATGACGAAACGTCTGGACGGAATAGTTCACTTAGACCACGGCCCTACAGCCCGAATCTTCATTCTACTATTGCTAAGAATGTTATCTTCAGTCCCCGAAGAAAGTAATTAATTTAAACATATTTTTAATTAGTGTTTTCCTTATGATGACAAATGACCGTTAAAATTTTTCTGAAAGTAAATTACTCAAGTAACAAAGTATGTTTGAGCTTTTTTAAAGGAAGGAATACGATTTTCCTGGACTTTTATAAAAATTTTCAAAAGTATCCAGATCCTACTTAAAATTATTTGTCGACCCTTGCTATAGAGACATATTAGAGGCAGAAACAGGAGTTAAGATTGGTAAAGGTAGATATACGAGGGTGGATTGATAAGTTTCCGGCCTGACCAAGAAAAACAAGGTTTTTAAAATTTTTTTTTTTTTATTTCTCAACATAATCTCCTCCAAGGCTGATACATTTCTCATAGCGGTGTTCCAGTCTATTAATGCCATCTCTATAGACTGATTNGGCTGAAACTATAGCTACAAGCTATCCAAGGATGGTACTATAGAATGTCACCTCAAGGTAGGCCTAGTGGCGTCATCTCTTGGTTAGGCCGGAAACTTATCAATCCACCCTCGTATGTATAATATTAGCTTGTTGCACTGAAAAGGAATCAAGGAACTGTAAAAAATAGCGATTTCATTCCTAATATCCTTACTGTTTACACCAGTAAATAATGTGGAGTCGATTTAGGATCATATTCCATTGTAATTACAATAAAATATATACCTAATTAACGTAATTAAACTAGAAATTCGAAGGTTGTTAGATGATACGTAGTACTACAACGTACAGTTATTGAGCTTGTACGTATGGTAGGTATTAAGAAACAACCAAGGTCCTTTGAAACGTGAGAAAAATGTGGGTATGATATTGAATAGACCATGAGTCATTAAATAATAATTGAGATTGTTGTGAAACAAACCAATACCAAATTTATCTTTAAATAAATGCATGGTGCATAGTTTTGATGATAATGTATAAATGACGAATAGAAGTTGTTACTCAATGATGACCACGTATGACTACACATTACAAAGCATCATTTCCTATTACTAGTTATATAGTTAACAATTTGGTGTTTCAAAGATTCTGAGCAGAGAAGACACAAATTCATCGAAAAATTACTATTGATTAAGGTTTTACGTTTTCTTCCTAATTTATTAATTTATGTTTATTTTTTAGAATCCGTTTTTATTTTTCACATGCATGTACATAAAAGTGAGTTCAATCTTTCTTTGATAGACAAACAAAGATACATACAAATATTTACAAAATTATAGTTTAATAGCCAATATATTAAATATAAGTTTTCCAAGCTTATGGATCGTATCTAATCCTTACAATTTTGTTTCTGTCGTTTCGGATAAATGTTTAGATCGCAGTAACCTTGGGGACGTTTTCCTAGGGGTGCGGCTCAAGTTCTCACCCTTTCTAAACATCTACCGCAGCCCAGGCGAAATATCGGAAAGAAAATTTAAATATTACGTATATTAGAAGTTTATTTATTACAACAGAAACGAAAATTCTTAAATAAAAACAAAGAGTGTCGTCAAATACATTTGGAATATGTTATAGTAGGTATTCAGAATCGTTATTTCATTCCTATATTGAGATTAATTCCTATACATATTGATATATATTTTAGTTAAATTAAATATATTTACAACGTACTATGCCGGAAGACCCTCTTCAGACTGCTTTCAGGAATCGTGGGAATGGGTGGGTGATGGTTCGGGCGAGAAAGATGAGACGGACGAAATGAAGACAGAAGATAATGAAATATTATCTGTGGAATATTACTGCCCCAACATTTGCCTAGGTGATCCAAGGGAACCACAGAAAAACTTGGACGCAGACAGACGGAGCCGGAATCGAACCGGCGTCCTCTCGAATGCTAAGCAAGGTCTAGACTCTAGACCTCTGGGCCATTCCGCTCGGTTGATGATATTTTGAGAAATATATATATACAATCTTTATCATATCATAGGAGGGTAGCCATGCTATACTAAGAAAAAGCTACGAGGGTGGATTGATAAGTTTCNAAATCTCCAGGTGATTGTAAGCAGTCCCATCTTTTCGCATGGGCTTACTGGGCTTGATCCCAGAGCCCCTAGATTATCCTCTAACCCAGGTGAAATTAAAAAAATCTTGTGTTTAAGGGGGGTTGACTTTGATATAGATTTTTTCTGTATGTTTACGTTGGGGCCATGAGCTCCGATTTGGCCTAAGAGGGCTCTGATTGTAAGGCTTTCCATATGACTTTATATCCAAGACCAAAAACATTTTCAGATTTGTTTCCTCTAAAATTAAAAACTCGTTGTCTTGGCCTATGTAGATAACTGTAGTATTTCATAACGACTCATGTTTAATGGTCAAAACATGATGGCACTTAATCATTAATTGTTAAAAGCACCTTAGCCAATTGCATCCGGTGTTACGGTAATTAATGAATATTAGTGTATTGTGTAGTTAGGTTTTGCTACTTTGATGTGTTAACGTAAATATTTATGAAATGTTTAACACATGGCATCAGTAAAACGGGCTAGTCATATATCAAGGTATAATAGAACATGAAAGTAGGCAGATTTTGGGAATATTATACAGTCAAATACTTGAAATGAAAAGGTATTAGAAAGAATAGGAGAACAGAGGACTCTATAAAAGTCAATAAGAAATAGGTGAGATAGGTTGGTAGGATACCTTCTCAGGCATGAAGGTCTAGTCAGAGACATACCAGAGGCAGAAACGGGAGTTAGGAGGGGTAAAGGTAGACCTAGATTAGACTATTGTTCGCAAATAGTTAAAGATGGGGGTTGTTCTAGTTTTAGCGAATTGCGAAGATTAGTTCAGGTTAGGAAAGAGTGGAGGTGTGTGTCCAACCAGTTTTAGGAATGACGACGATGATAAGATAAAAATGATAAATGTTTTTTATGCCAGTTGTTAATTCCTGCTAGATTGTAATTATAAAGTTTTCTTTAGTCAGTGAAATGAAAAGTTGAAACCACCATGATTGAAAATTAGTTTAATAAATTATCTAAAATATCTTTTACCTTTGGTCGTTTCCATGTAAATTGAAAAGGAGGAGTCTGATGGTAAAAAACAGAAGATTGTGTTGCAGGAAAATCTGGATCTTCCCAAAGCTCACCACGCTTCAAGCACGAACGCCTTATGCGTTCGTAATCACTCATTCCCTGAAAACAATGAAAAACATTTAACGAAATGGGTTACTTTTCATAATATATGTACAATATGTGTGTATGTATAGTACCATTCAAATTTCGTAGTTTATGTAAGGGTTAGTGATGGTCTTGCAGACTGTTTTTATACTAGCAAGACCAAAACCAAACGAACAAGACCAAGACTGTATTGTTTTGTTCGCTAAAAGGTCAATTTATGCGTTGGAGAAAGGGTAAATTTATACGTTAAAGAAAGGATCAATTTATGTATTTCTAACTGACCAATTATTAATCTTTGGCCTCATCGCCTTATGTACCATGAACCTTCATCAAGTAGAGGTCAGGTCAATCGACAAAATTTACCATTGGCGATTCACTTTATTAGTTTGAACATTGTAAATTGTTATTAATCTCAATTAAGTTGTCATGCAGAGAGAAGTCAACAGTATAAGCCATGTTCACACAGCTATACGTGGGTATAGTTTTCAATTTCGTACCCGATTTACTCCTAGCGTAATAATAAGCTTGGGTTTAGGAGAATTACAGTATACGGCATATGAAGGCACGCGCGACGTTGTAAACGATTATGTAGGGAAAGTATTTTCCTATTTCAGGATCCATTATCTAGTTCTCGGTATGTTGTACCTATTTCAGTTGGCTGCAACATATTAGATGTTAATGCACTCGTACAAACGTGTTCGAGTACTTAAGTACCGGTTGCTGGTTGCGCATGATTTAGGCCCTATGATAAAATTATGGCTTGGTTATCTAACCGGTAGTTTAAGATATGATTAACTTAATTAAAACTATTACCAGTGATTTGCAGTCGCCAGAACATTAAGAAAACGTTATGCTTGGCCTACAAGCAATCAGGAAAAGCGTTACAATACAATAATACATATTTCTTAACTCCTGAATTCACCCCTAAATGGAAATAGAGGTCATCAAAATGCCAAAATAATGGAAAATTGAATATAGGTACCTGTACCATGAGTAATAACAACAGAAGAAATATCGTGTGTAGTGACTCTATTAAGAATGCAGAATAAAAGTAACAATAAAAATCATTTTCCTTTATAAAATTTAAAATTAATGTTGATCTTTGGCATCCCCCCAAATTCCAGCGGCTTTGACTCTGTTGTCCGGGTCAGTCGCTTCTTAACCCATCTCTAAATTTAAGCAAGTTATGTAACCAGCTACAGTGTAGATAGGTAATAAGGGCTGCAATGGATCATACTCATATCTATTTTTAAGAAAAAATATTTTTTTTGTTCTAATAAAAGATTGCAGTAAAAAATGACACAGAACTTTTGAACTGGAATTTTCATTCTTTATCACGTGGTGCAGAAATCTCCAGGTGATTGTAAGCAGTCCCATCTTTTCGCATGGGCTTACTGGGCTTGATCCCAGAGCCCCTAGATTATCCTCTAACCCAGGTGAAATTAAAAAAATCTTGTGTTTAAGGGGGGTTGACTTTGATATAGATTTTTTCTGTATGTTTACGTTGGGGCCATGAGCTCCGATTTGGCCTAAGAGGGCTCTGATTGTAAGGCTTTCCATATGACTTTATATCCAAGACCAAAAACATTTTCAGGCAAAATTTAATGATGTGCGATAATTCAAGCTACAGGTTCTAAAAAATGTGTTCGATGTGCGTCACCAGTAAAAAATGAAGCAAAATTTAATGCCTTTATACGTGTGTATGAAACACTAATTACAACGATAAAGAAATGACGGAACTGGATTAGAAGATACTTAGATAGTAACAGTAAATTGTGGAAGCTGCTGCTGCTGTTGGGAAAAATGAGCATGTAGTAGTTGATGGACTGGAATGACCTTAAAGAGCGATGACCTATGAAGATAATGAGAAGCTCGCGATAGGCTAACTTACGTCCTTTTAAATACTTCCCCTATCGCAATTAAAGTCATCATAATGACTAGTTAATTGAAGAGGAGCAGATTTTTTACTTAAATTAACTTCCAGTATTCAAAAATTCGACGAATAACTCATTTACTTTATTGGAATTTGCAAATAATCTTTGAGTAGAATCAAGATGATAATTAAATTCACAATAAGAATATTTTGATTTTCATATTGGAGAAAACAAACTAGAGAATTGTTTTAATAACATAATAGAAATAAACGCACATAATCGAAAAATATTATATTGCAAAATGTAACAATTTCTTTAAAGATTATCTGTAAGATTTTAAAATAATTTCTTCATTAATTTTCTTTTTAGTTATGCGTGGGTATTATAGTTTATAATCTTGAAATTTTTACGATCACAATTGCTACATTTTTATCGTAGACATTTTTATTGCTTATAATCGATTTTGTTGCTTTTTTATTTCAATTTCCCTCTAACTGATAAGGTCGCTATTTTACAATAGCTGTAATTTGCTCAGAAACACTAACTGAAACTACTGTAGGTTCATACCTAAGTATAGCCTAATTACCAAACGATTACAATCGTGTCTGACAAATTTTCGCCACTCTGAGATGTGCAATTTGTTATCTTACAACAACTTGCCATGATGTAGAAAGGAAACAATTGTTTCGAAAACAATTTCGCTTTCCTAATAGTGAGAACTACTGTTTACAGCAACAGTTAAACCGTTTTTGCATACCAAACGATTTATTCCGAAACTATTATTTTTGTAGAAAATACTACAAATGGCGCAATAAACGCCATCTATAGTACGATGCTACATTTTAGGATTACGTATGCTTCAACAAGGTCCATTTAAATATATGGATATCTACTTGCTGAAACGAATCCCGGCGTAGCTCACCTCAACGTGGTAGGCACGTTACCATAATCGCTGCCTGCGACGCACTGATGAGATCCAAAAAGATCGAAATCGCGATCCGCGTCTGGCAGTTTCGACTGAATACAGACCACTTCTAATTTAAATGGACCTTGTTTAAGAATACGTAATCCTAAAATGTAGCATCGTACTACAGATGGCGTTTACTGCGCCATTTGTAGTATTTTCTAAAACGCACTGTTAAGGCAGAAGGTAAAAGTTGGCCTGTGTTCTGTCGGAGCTGCCTGCGACGCGCTGATGAGATCCAAAAAGATCGAAATCGCGATCAGCATCCGGCAATTTCGACAGAATACAGACCACTTTGAATTATTTTTGTGTATTAGTTAAGATTGTTTTATGTAAACGCAAACAAAGTTATATTATTATATAAAAAAAATTTAGCGCCAATAGTTCGAGATTGCATTCTGATCTTTAGAATGGCCGATACCTAAACTATAAAACTTAATTTTTCCGGGTTCCAACGTAGTCGGTTAGTTTTACCTGACGTTTCGCTGCTCATGCTGTCAGTTTCTTCAGAAGAAACTGATGGCCGTCATAAGATTCCTTCCGCAAAGATACAATAGCAATGACATTCGTTACTATAAGCGTAGGTTTAATTTCTTAATCTCATGCGGTGGTCCAGCTGTTTATATTATGCGATCAGGTGTCTTTACTGAAGGTATTTCAAATCTTTCTTAACTCACAAATGATTTTAGACTTCTCAATCTACAAGTTTTTTTACCAAAAGTGATCGATTATCGAAAACAAAACAAAAATGAGAGAAAAATAGTATCCTCGAATTCCTTTTTGATCAGCTGTCAAAGTCCGGTTGTTAATACAGTTAGAAACTCACAAATGATGTCGGTTAATTCTTTCCGCTTTCTTCAAGTGCCCTTGATAATGTATATTTAAACTTTTAAACGACAACAAAGGTGTGCCTATTTTACTACACGGCTCACCTGATAGATGTTTGCACTGTTGTGGATGTTGTAGCTGGTAGAAGTCAAAGGTTAGTAACCAGGAAATTGCCAGAATGCTGTACGGCTCTTGCAGAATCAATTATCATTTCAATTGAAATAGAACCACATTTTCAATGGATAAGCGTTATTTTTTTATGTTACAAAAATGAAATATTATTCGAATACAGATCCTTAATGACATTTTTATTAATTTAATCATAAGTGACGAAATTCATGCGGGTCAATTTCGGAAGGCAACATCGCCAATAAATTTTATTGGGCGAAAACAACGCTGTCATTTACCTTATTCAGCATACCTTGCAACATAAAACGACATTTTCTTTTAGTAAAGGACATCGCATATAAATAGTGATAAGATATGTCAAAGACGATTGTAAAACAGTTCTCTCTTTGTTAATAATTTACTACCGACTTCGCCTTCTTAAACCGACTCGACAACATTTTTTAATCTAATCGTAAATTACAATTCATATTCCTGTTTTCTTCCTTAATTAATAACAGGTGTTACTTTTAAGCTTTTAAGAAAGCATCTGTGATTTTTACACAATTTTTACGTAGTGTACATACAAACCTGTCGCGAGAATTCAAAGTTAAAGATGAAATCGGCGATTTCTGGGACGGCATACCTAATATGTAGGACACGACGGAATACATTAGCCGTCATAAATGTAACGGACTGACCGATTCAATAAGTTAAAAGTCCGTTTTCAACGCATATAACGAGTGCATTTTAGAAAATTTCGAATTATTTTGTGCCTCATTGATGGACAGACGTATTATGAACGTTATTTTACCGCCATTTAACTAGGTACATTTTTATTTGCATATATAAGCTACTGTTGATTGTAAAATACATTAGTAGCATACACATAATGCACCAAATAGACTAAGCAGTTCATTATGTAACAGAGGTCATATTTTAAAATCAAAATATATCGATTAGGCACATGTACCTAACCTCACAAAATTGACAGCCGCCATTGTAATTCCAAAGACAGTCTGTCTGTTGGAATATGCTAACAATATTAGAACGAGGTAGCTGCTAGTGTAGTGCTAGATAGAATTTAATGCTGTATGTAATTGATATTCACCCTCATATAACGAAAATTTAATTTAAAAAATTCTTATAAGTACTTATATGGTCCATTAAGGTTTCAGGACATCACATTCTTCAGCTCAAAAACTAATAAGCGCTTAGACAGTTTTTGGAATTAAAGCTCTGGA